AATAAAATGGCATGAATTAAGTGATTTAATGATAATGTGTATTGAAGAAATGTGTTACCATGTTGATAATTGCAGGTCAAGAGGCGAAGACCGTGCAACCGGTTTTGGAAACCCACTGTGAGTAACATTTCTGTAAAGATATGTTAGTATGATCTATGTTTAAAAGTGCTACGTTATGCTATGGTTTTGAAATGATAAATGTTTTCTGTGAACGAATGTCCAGTTTGCGAATCTAGTATGGCATCCATAGATAGTCCTAAGTGGACCAGTTTACGAGATCTCGGTATGTGTTTAATCGGTGTCCGGGACCGGTTACTCTAGTCGTTGGACGACAAATGTTATGTTCTATGGAGTATGCCATTATGTATGTTCTGATATGAGATGATTATGTTTATGAATGATTTATTTTATGGATATATGAAATGTGGGATTCATTCACTACCCCTTTACTCTAATGTTACTTGCTGAGCTTTAGCTCATTGTTTGTATATATGTAATTATAGGTGAGCACTCCGGGAGTCAAGCCTAGGCGGAGTCCGAGCTGAGCCGCCGTTTTGAAGCCTACCCGGTGTTTTGGTGCCTCCGAGTTGGGGCTAGGCCGTTAGGAAGCTTGGTTTGGTTGTACATGTGGTGTGAGCCTATGTCTTGTATATGAATTTTGATTATATGTGATGTAATGTAGTGGGTAAATTAACATTTTTGGCATGTAATGTATGTTCATATAAATGCACAGCTCTTTGGACTATTAGTGTTTTGTTTTCGCTTCCGCAAGCCCCGGTTATGTATGTTTTGTACAGAAAGGCCTGTGGTAATCTAGGATTACTGGCCGGTTACGATGCCACCTTTTTCGGGGCGGGTTTGGGTCGTGACAATTCAAAGATCTTCGAAGATCCTTAAAGAAAAATTCGAATTCTCTAGAAGATGATGAGAGGCTTAGATTCTTCAATAGTCTCAACTAAGAACACAATAGCAAAGAGATGATGGAGATAAGAGATTGGGTGAAGAAGAAGGCAAAATAGTTAGAGAGAGAATAATGGCAAGGCTCTCCCATGGATCTCCCACTTTCACTCTCAAGGTTGATAATGGAGAAGGGAAATTAGTTCTTTCCCAAGAGTTTTCTCTCCAAAATCCATCCCTTGTAAAGCTATGGGTGGGTGCTATTTATAGGCACCTCATGATGTAGGATGGAACCCATGTGCAAAGCCCATGGGAAATATTCTCTCTAATCACCTTGTCCGAGGAGGTGACCTCTCCGAGGATGAGGAAAACCCCGAAGAGGAGATCGACCTCTCGGCGAACCCTTCTTCTTAGTCACACCTAACCAATGATCCCCAATCATTCTAAAGGATCAGGGGTAGTCCCAGAGGACGTCCTGCCGCGAAATATTGCCGAGTCTCATGGACCCCCCGGGGTCATGCCACCTCGACCAGGGTATAGGCTAGTTTAACCGAAGAGTGAATTTATCTCTACTCACCGTCCTCGGGATTGGGTCCTTTGTTCGAACTCCATTACGCCCATGGTTCTAGTGCGTAGATCCCGGAAAGCTCTGAGCCCGCAAGTGTTTTTGGACTCATTAATGGAGCGGCTTCTAGATTGCGTCTGAATCCGTTCGAAGCTAAGTGCTTCGGATCTCTCTAGGTTCGTGGATCTGAACCATTTCGAGTCTGAGCCCGAGTAAGTCTCTAAGTTCGTGGATCCGAACCCTTTCGAGGCTTAGAGCGATTTGGCCCGTTTAATGGTGATTAATCCGGGCCCACCAATCTTGGGCTTGCGATAAATTCGGGCCCACCAATCTCGGGTTATTAGGCCTAATTAATTTAGCGGACTTAAATTAGCTCCTCTTACATTTGCCCCTTGCGTGTATGAGAAATTTTAAATTTCTCGGACACGCATATTGTCATTTCTTCGGCCCTGTTTCGCATCACGTCAAAAAAAAAAAAATGTTGTCTCGACAGAGCCTATGGATAAAGTTGATGACGCACAAAAAAAAATTTTTTACTCAACAGAGCCTTTGGTTAAATTTTTTTTTTTTACTGAAATATATTTTTATAACATCTAAGAAAAAAAATATATATTTTTTTATTCTAACCAAAGAATAATAAAGCATTTTTTTTTATATTCTTAACAAATAGAATACAAGGCTCACATACGTTTTTTTTTTTGTTGTTGTTTAGCAAACATAGCAGACCAATTACATATATACACATATTTAGAATATCCTAAGGGCATATTCAAAGGATAATGCTCCCCTTTTTTTCTATTTGAGGAAAGGGCAAAACCCTATTCTGTAGCTCATCATTCTTTTTGTTGCATAGCCGTTACGGCGCTCTCTCTCTCTCTAGACTGAGGTGCCAAATTTCTTCTTGTTCAAGAAGGCTTCGTTTCTACACTGCCAAAGGCCACCGCCGTGCTCTCCTTCTTCAACAAACCACATGGCTCTGCTTGCGCACTGACCTTTATCGCTACTCCAGGCTCCGTTGCCGCCGTCGTCACTGAAGACCCAGCTCCGACTGCCACAGACGTCACAGGCCCGTCACCGACTTGTCCTAGCGTCGCAACCCAGCCATCAGCCTGTCCCAACTTCGACCAAGCTCCTGCTTCGTCTGTCCAGCGTCATCTTGCACACCGTTGGCGGCTACAGCCTCGGCTACTATTAATGTCATGACAACGTTGTCAAGCCAACACTGTACTCTTCTGTGGCCCTACTGCCATTGCCGGCCTCAACTGACTAACACGGATGCCGCTGCTTGCTCCAGTGCCAACTACACACGTCGCCCTTTCAACGCGTCGTGTGTGGTCACCAACTCCGTTACAACATCACCGCTGGTTCCGGCCTCGCTCGTCCAACGCCGACCACGCACGTTTGTCCATTCAACGCCGTGTGTGGTCCTGCCTATCATCGTTCAGCTTTGCATTATAATACTCACCATCTTTTTCTTGATCATTGTTGCTTGCTTTGCATCTGCTCTTTGCTTTCTCAGACCAGTGGGTTAGCATTTCAGAATTTTTTAATTTTGGTGGAAGCTTTTTGTGGAAAACCCATTCTCTCTTATTATTTTAATGAACTTCTGTGCTTAAAAAAAATGAATCCATGCTCTGATACATTTTGAATTTGTGAACTCCAGCTTTCGCAAGCCACTACCGGTAACGTATTGCTCCTCTGTGACGTCACTGCAACGACATTGTGACGCTGATTCCCCAACCTCACCATCGGTGTTTTACCATTATTGGCTTTCCTCTGCTGCAATCTATGTCGCCCGCCTCGGCTATCCACTGTTGAACACAGTTGGCTTTGCTCTGCTGCAAGTTCGTCACCGGCTTCAACTATTCCAGCATCGACCACACCCGTTGCCCACTCAACGTGACGTGGGTGGTTGCCAACTTCTTTCTGACACCATTGTTGCCTCCGGCCTCAACTTGTCCAACGCCGACCACGCACGTTCGCTTGCTCAACGCAACGCGTGTGGTCTTGCCCAGCCTTGCTCAGTCTTGTTGATTACAGTCTATAAAGCCTCTCTGATTTCAACTTAAATTTCCAACATTAGCTTCGGACTTCACCCCTCTAACTATCCAAATTTGCGAGTATGAAATTTGGCTCCCTTTTCCTCTTGTATATATATATATATATATATATTGTGGCAATTTTTGTGAAAAGTCTTATTTCAAAAAAAAAAAAAATCTAAAATCCCAATGACATTTTTTTTAGCTCAAGCACTGTGATTTTGGCCATATTGAAGTATGCAGTGGCACTTGAAACCTTATTGAGGGGCTTGGCTTGAATATAATTTGTTGAACTTTATCACTTAGAAAAGGCCGAATATAACTTGTTGACTAGTATTGAGCTCCATTTTTGACATAGAGAGAGAAAACCTTCGGCTTATGAATATGGACTTTAGAAAGGACATTCTTGTAATTTGCATAACGATCCATTGAATCTTGAATCCATAACTCAAACTTTGTAGCTTTGCTGCTGATATATATATATATATATATATATTTATCACTACATGTTTGATAGTATTGAAAAGAGTAGAATAAACAAAAAATTTTGTTGTTATTGTTGATGCTTGATGGAATGATTTCAGTAATGAAACTCATAATGTTGAACATAAATTTTGTTGCCGAGTATTTGATCATTGTAGTGTTGAGGAAGATAATGAAATACTCTAACCATATATATTTGACCAAAAAAATACTCCAGCACTTTGAATCTTGTAAACACTTTACTTGAAATAATTACGTCATGATAACTCTTAGAACCATATATGGTCATTCAATAGGCTCCTGGATACCCCGAGAAAATAAATTTTTGATGATATCCGAGGTTGAATTTGTTGATAAACCCATTATGTTGCATGTAAATCTTATTATCAAATAACTGATTGTTGCGATCTTTAGAATAGTTGATGCCGAAATTTCATTTGAATGTGTTGCTTCAATTCAAATATTCTGAATTTTAATACGGTCAACTCCTTGCTATTTATACCTGTTATTTCAGCCATATGTTTTCTCGAAAGAAACTCGTTGTCTCGGGGTCATCAGAACCGGCTCTCATGAAGGAGAAGAATGTACCTCCGGCATCCGAGTGGAGGAAATCTCCTTATTTTGGTCGGAAGGACCCGTTCTGGCGAGCGGCTACCTCTACCACTTCTCTTCTGTCTCCGAAGGGAGCTCCATTATGTCTCTCTCAGGACACTGACCCCAGGCAAGAGGCCCTTATTTCCCTTTCTTCGGTGTTACGTTTTAGGATTGAGCGAGAGGACTTTCCATACTGCTATCCCTAGTTCAAAGCCTTCTCGAACCCTCCTTTTGGTTGGCAAGAGTGGGTGGATAATGTCTTCTCGGACAGGAGCCTCTGTCAGCGGCTTCAGGAGGCCCGGCTATTGATCCCGGTGAAAATATATCGATCCTTATCCATCCATCGCAACAATGCTAGCCTTGAAGCCATGGCTCTTCGGTGGAGCACCGAGAGACACACCTTTATACTTGGCCAGCACGAGATGGGGCCCACCCTCGAGGATGTGTTCATGTTACTGCGTCTGGAAGTGACCGGCCCTGATGCCTTCTACCCTGAGCGGACACCCCCCGAGGATGACTCTTTGATCCAATCTCTAAAGCTAAATCTGCAAACTTGTGGTCGGTGGAGTTCCGTATTTGATGGTTCAGTGAGGAGGACTAGTCGAGTGAGGGCGGACCGTGCCTCCTACACCGCATGGATCCGTCACTTCTTCAGAGATCTTCAGCCCCTGACTAGAGATGCTAACCTTGATTCTCGGGAGTATGAGGTCGGCCCGATGTATGACTCTAGGCTCTATTTTTTGGGATTTCTGGCTTGCTTCCTTTCATTCTTCATTCTTTCGGGCACACCTCCGAATTCTCTCAATCCTTTCGTCTTCCCCTTGGCAGTTAGGCTCTTCAGAGGGGATCGGATTCCTTTGGCTCCGCTATTTCTTGGGAATCTTTATTACCAGCTGGATCTACTACATCGAGACATGGTTCGTTCTGTGGGTCGATATGAGCCTGCCTCCTTTATTCACAGCCAGTTTCTGCTTTGTTTCTTCTTCGAGAGGTTCTCAAAGTTTGTCCCTACTCCGACTGCATTCGAGGCAGAGGTTCTTCGGGAGATAGTAGATAAAGATGGTATTCCCGTGCTCGGTACTGACAGGTCTCGGACATTTGAGAAAGCGAAGTCTTACCAACCGTTGATTACACGTTGGTCACGTACCATTTCCACCTTATCTTTGAATACTCTAGTGGATGATCCCCGGCGCTTTGTGGCACGACCATATGTATGCCCACCGGTGGGTGTGGCAACACCACTTATCTATCACGGTTTCTCCCGCTCGGTGTCCTTTCCTTTGCCGAAGAACATCCCTGCACACTTTATTGTTATGCTGATAATGACCCGTCAGAGTTTATTACCGGTATGGCATAAGGAAGGCGTTGATAGTGCCGTTTATAGACCTGACCGTGTAGCATGTCAATTCGGGTTTGACCAATGTGCCCCGGGGCCAGCACCTCCTTTGTTATCATTTTCAGAGAGCTACGGGCGCTTCAGTCGCAGACTTGTACACACCATGCTTTCTATATCCGGCTCTTTGACGATGTCAGGCTTGAGCCGAGTAGGGGGTTTCACCCCCTCTTTCAGGCGATATTGGCGGAAGACTATCGATGCATTTATTGAATTTGACCAGAGCAGACTGATCATATGTTTGCCTCCGCTGATTTATAAGAAGGACTCTTCTCTTCGGCTGCCCGAGAGCCGGAAATCTGATCACATGGACGAGAGTTTCTTCACTTCATCTGCTCCAACTAACCCTTCGGCTCGGGTGTCTACTTCTAGCTTGGCAATTACTTCTCCATAGCCAGTCCCTTTGAATAAGGCCTCTGGTCCTCGGATGACCCGCCTTAAGAAGATGGCTCACAAGAGGGCTTCTGATGCCAGTCCTTCGGCTCCTCACCTTTCCAAAAGGCTCCATGAGGTACCCAAATTTTTTTTTTATTTATTTGAAGTTACTTTCCTTCTTGCGACTAGACCTTCTTAAATGAACACTTTTTATTTTCCCCTGTTGTGTAGGACCCTACAGTTGCTGATGTTCTCAGTACCGTGGCTACTGGCCATGCTTCCTCCACCAGGCCGGATTGGACGACACCCTCCTTTTGTCTGTAAGACTTGTGAAGATGCGCACCCCTCGTATAGCGGTTATAGATGATGATGATGATGATGAGGCTGAGTCCTCCAATCATTTTTGTGACCTTATCCCGCGCATGCGTCGTTACCATCCTATCGTAACTAAGGAGGAGCGCTATCTTGGTGACGAGGTTGTCGGGGCTCACCATTCTGATGTTGAGATTGTTGAAGGGACTGATGCCACAGAAATTGATGCCGCAGTACCGTGGCTACTGGCCATGCTTCCTCCACCAGGCCGGATTCAGACTTGGACGACACCCTCCTTTTGTCTGTAAGACTTGTGAAGATGCGCACCCTTCGTATAGCGGTTATAGATGATGATGATGATGATGAGGCTGAGTCCTCCAATCATTTTTGTGACCTTATCCCGCGCATGCGTCGTTACCATCCTATCGTAACTAAGGAGGAGCGCTATCTTGGTGACGAGGTTGTCAGGGCTCACCATTCTGATGTTGAGATTGCTGAAGGGACTGATGCCACAGAAATTGATGCCACAGACCATGCTTCTAGAAGCAATATAGAGATGAGGTGCGCCTCTGAGAATGGTGTGAAGGTGGATGTGCTAGAAATTTCTGATACTCGCTCTGGCACTTATGGTGATTCTCATCCTCCGGCCTTCCTTCCTTCTTCAAGGACAAGTGCTACTGTTACTATAACGTCTTCACTTAAAATTGAATACTATAACTTTTTGATAAATAAATTCAGTCCACAAAACTGGCTTTGAACAACCCTAAATAATAAGTCAGCCAAATTTTGCTTTGCCAAGTGCTGCATTGCAAACCAATTCAACGTTGGTTTGCCAAAGCCGCTTTGTAAGGAATTGCTAGTTTAAAACCAACCCATATTTTTCATCTCTTATCCGACACCTCTCTCTCAAATGTTTGGTATCATTTTCAGTTTTTTGTTTTCATTTTTTGAAAAACAAATAAATAAATAAAAGTTTAAAAACAAATGGCTTAAGAAACACGCGCACACACAAAAAAAAAAAAAATTGTTCTCAAGAACTATTTTCTCACAAAATGAAAGCGACGTACATTTTAAATTTTAATAAAAATGTGAAAAACAAAAACAATACCAATGAGGTAAGTTTCCGAAACATCCCTAAGCAAAAGCAAATTTTAAAGATCTTGAGCATGAGTTTTAAAATTATACTTGCAGGTGTAAGTGATGAAATATTTATAATATATATATATATATATTATGCAAATCAGTTGGACTTGTATCTGGGCATATAAACACAGCACACAATCCTAGGGGTGCAACTCGAGCAGGTTTGGACGGGTTGGAAGGTTATCCAAGTCCATCTCAAGCTGTGTTGAGATCTGTCCAAACCCGTTCAAGCCTGGATTGTAACCCGAGATTGTCTGTCCAAGCCCGACCCGAGTTAAATCCGAATTGACCAAGTTGCCCGAATTGTAAATGAATTTCAATTTTTTTTTTTTTTGCAGCTACATTATTAAATTATTAAAATTTGACTCTATTTACAATTTATTATTATTATTATTATTTTTATAGAAAATCATTAATAGCATCAAAACAAATAATTTATATAATGTAAGAGAGATGCCACTATATCAATATGATTAAATAATATAAATTACTTTAATATCATGTAATGACTAATAATTTATATATATATTTAATATTTTAAATATCTATATATGTATAATTCGGGTTTCGGGTTGCTCGGGTTGTTTGACGTCTTTGCCCAAGCCAGCCCAAATTTAATTCGGACTTCTGAATTTTTGCCCAAGCCCATACTGAATTTGAAAATATTTTGTCTAAGCCCTAAAAAAATTCAGACTGGGGTCGGGTTACTCGGGATGAGTCCGCCCAAGTTACACCCTTACACAATCCTCTACATCAACGTACTCTCAATCACATGATGTGGTAGAAATCTCAGATAATCATGCAATGGAGAGAGCGTTGGAACATAGAGACAAAAATTAAAGTCCAAACATCCTTCACCTACAAACATGGCACGAAATGCTTTGCACTATTGCATGATGTTGTAGAAGTTTCAATACACAATCATGAAATTGAGAGAGAGCGTTGAGATAGAGAGACACAAATTTAAGTGCAAGAGATCCTTGACGTACAAATACTAATGGGTGAGGATTTCTATGTGCATTAAAATAAATAAATAAATAAATAGAGTTGGAAAATAAGTGAATTAAAACATTGAAAATATAAAAATAATTATAATTAAACTATATATCCAATAGGAAAAAATGAAAAGCATAAGAAACTAACCTTCGCGACAGGTTCAGTTAGGAGGCTGCTCTTTACATATGGGTCTCCCATGGCTGAGATGAGAAGCCTTCTCACAATGTGTTTGTTTTTGTGTTTTTTTGGCTTTGAAAAAAGACGAAAATGTATAACCCAAAAATAAAAGCTTGTTTGTTATAAAACTGATGATGCGTCTAAACATGGAGGTTTTTTTACTTTTAAAAACACTTGGGCATTCTTCATAGAAGAAGCTCATGAACACACGTGTACGTACATATTTATATTCATCAATATCCCATTTAAATCATAAATGTTAGACTTTTAAAATAACAATAATAATAATTTGAAAAGTGTTTAAAAATAAAATATATTAACCAAAATCATTCTATTCTATTCATACGCTTAACTATGTGTTGTGTGAATGTGACGACCAATGGATTGGCCTCCTAACTTACTAGGTGTCATCCTTCGATTTCAATTTTATTGTTGTGCTTTTGAAACTTCTCACTTCCTATATTCTTCATAATTATTGTAAAGCTTTCCATATTTCTTTCTAAAAAATAAAAAGTGCGTTGTGTTTGAGATAGAAAATTACAGCAATGTTAGGTATCATGAAAAATCTTTCATGAAAATAATCATGCAAGTTTTGTGATCCTTGGATTACACTTAGAATAAAGCACCACACACTAATCAAGGTAATCCAAGAATCATAAATCTTTCATGATCATTTTTATGAAAAAAATTTCATGATCCCTAAATTTGATTTGAATTAATCATGATTAGTCAAATTCACAAAAAAAAAAAAAAAAAAAAAAAAAAAAATTTTTGCCAAACATTGCATCGTTAACTGTGAAAACTAGTCAAATTCAAAAAAAAAAAAAAAAAAAATACAATACTTTATCTTTTCTCTTGTTTAAGGAAGTGTAACTTGACAACATTAAATCTCTTATTAATGACAAATTATAGAAGTTATCTTGTCAAATAAGAAATTACAACATACACAAAGTGAGATTTTCTATTTCTTAACTCCCTAGTAAAAGTGAATTAATATATTTCACTTATAAATTTTTTGTTTCATAATTAACTTAAGACATGTAAAATAATCTTACATGATAATTCGGACTATAAAATATTACATTAGAGAAAGAGAGGCAGTTTGTTGAAAAATTACATTGTGGTTCAGGAACACCCCGTGACTCTATCTAGGATCAATCACAATTCATCATGTCTTTTATTATTTTTAATCACCCAATATAAAATTATAAATTCTACATCTATCACCAATTACGACTCACCTAGGACACCATTTTTTTTCTTCTTCTCAGAGCTGGGACACCATGTCGCCGTGCCCGACCACCAAATAACTTCTCCACTTTGTTGGAAGGATTCCTAACAAGAAATGCCACGTGGAAGAAAGGGATCAACTGTTATGTGCCAACCAAATTGAGGTTGTGTTGTTGTGGCTCTCCTTCAATGAATATATTCACTCTCCTCCACCATTAGCCACACGTAAAACAACCCTGCATTTCTCATTCGCACCGTTTTGCTTCTCTCTCTCTCTACAATTCTTGCAGGGAAGATCGAAGGTGAGAATGCCAGGACAAAGAGCCCCTTGCGATTACTCGAAAGAACCACCTCGTCATCCAATCCTGCCAATCAATTCCAAGGCAAGTTTCTATTCTTTGATTTTGAAAAGCCTTTTTCCAAAGACACAATGGGGTGTTTGGTGGAGATTATTTTAAACTAAATGTTGATAATCAAAAAACAAAATCTAAAAGCACTCTCTCTCAAATTCTGAAAAATCAGTTTTTTTCTGTTTATTCAAATTATTTATGTCTAATAAGTTACAAACAGAAGTTGTATCAAACAATTTGACACAAACTTCCGTATTAAAATAAGCAATAAACTGCTTCCATAATCCCGTCAAATACCCCCAATGAAGATTGAAATTAACTTTGTGGAATTCGCATTCCTCACTTGTTGGATTTTGGGATTTGTAAAGCTCACTTACTTACTCACTCACTCTTGTTTGCTATTATATGTACATATAGGAACCTTTCAATGCTGAGCCACCTCGTTTGTCCTTGATTTCCTCTTATGTAACTCCGGTGGATTTCTTCTACAAGCGAAACCATGGTCCAGTCCCCATTGTTGATGACATTGAAAGGCATAATTCTGTTTTCACTTCCTTCGTTTTTGTTTTTGTTTTTATTTTTGAAAAAATTGCATTTTAGTGAAAATAATTGCAAAATGTGACCTGCTTTCGCAACTTCCAATTTTAGCCAAAAAATCACTGTAAGTTGTCACATCACTCTTTCTATTTTTCTGTACATCTTTTCGTAAAAAGTTAAAAAATAACTAAAATACTTTGTTTCCAAATTAATCATTTTGCTTAATGATATAGTTATAATAAAAAAATTATTCACTAAATATGTCTACTGAGAGAAAATTTTGTATGAAAGTAGAATGACCCCGATGGGTATGTGTTATGGGGCAACTGACAATTTTGACCTTACCTGCACTAGAACACATTATCCCACCTACTTTTTCATATTTGTACAATTATTTTGAATTTTTCTCACTGAAAGTCAATTCCTTTTTTTTTCTTTTCATATTTAAAAATAAAAATAAAAAAATATTGAAACCATCCAACGTTTTCACGAACTGTTTGGCAGAGCAGCTACAGAGTATGTATAGGTGGTCTGGTGGAAAAGCCCATAGAACTCTCTATGGCTGATATCAAGTAAGTATTTACTACTCTGATAAACACAATGTTCTTGGCTTTGAGGAAAGATTGATGTATCAGAGCACATGTTAATATCAATTTAACTTTCCATTTCCTTCAAGAAAATTCATATTTTTTTTCATTGAAATTATAGTGATCTTCATATCATGCCATGGATGTCCTTGTGAATTTATTTGAAATTGGAATTTCTCTACTGGTTTATATTACAGGAAGCTACCAAAATACAATGTGACAGCCACCTTACAAGTAAGTTTACATACACCTACTACATACAATATAAGTCAAAGAACACATAAATGGACACAGAATGTATATGGATGGATTAGATTTTACATAATATGCATTATGTGTTCAATTCTATGATTAGTTTATGTGCTCGTAGCAGAACTATTTTGACTTCTAGCATACACGTGTTTTGGCCATTGGGCTAAACCGAATTGCTGTGTGGCTACCCAATTTGAACTATTTGTTGCTTCTTTTTCATTTAAAGTTATGCAGTGTGCAGGTAATAGAAGGACTGCAATGAGCAAAGTAAGAGCAGTGAAAGGTGTTGGCTGGGATATCTCTGCCATTGGAAATGGTTTGCTTCTATTCATTATCTTTTGTACATTTTCACTGCTTCTGTGTTTTCCAAAACATTTTGCAAAACTATATTCATTCTTGTTCTCTCTCTCTCTCTCTTTCTCTCTCTCTCTCTCTCTGTTGATATTTTATCTTCTGCACATATTTGCTTAAGCCATTTGGGGTGGAGCCAAACTCGCTGATGTTCTTGAACTTGTGGGAATACCTAAATTGACGAAAACCACTCCTTTGGGTGGAAAGCACGTAGAATTTGTAAGCGTTGATATGTGCAAGGTGAAAATTTCTTAAATTCATTTAATCTTAATTATAAAGAAATTACACTGTTTGGTGGATTAATTCAATTCCAAGTAATTTGGACTTCTAGGAGGAGAAAGGAGGTCCATATAAGGCATCAATTCCATTAATTCAATCAACAAATTCTGAAGCTGATGTTCTACTTGCATACGAGATGAACGGAGAGGTGGAAAATTTTAATGCATTGTTGCTTGCGTTGCGTTTGGCAGCATGGAATTCAAGCATTGGATTTGGATAGCAAATTCATGGAAGAAATGAACTGTAATATCTTCTAAGTTTCTTGAATCCTCTTGTTCTCGACTAATCTTCCTCCATTTTGTTTGTTCTTATCAAAATTTGACCGGTTTACCATACCGAAGATTCTAAATAGAGATCATGGATATCCACTTCATGTGGTTGTCCCCGGTGTTATAGGTGCCCGCTCTGTAAAATGGTTGGATTCAATCAACATAATCGGAGAAGAATGTTAGGTTGGTTCTGAAAAATGTAAAAATTAGAGTTCTCTTATAATTATGACCTTTCACTTGTAAATTAAATTATATCTTACACTAATGTATAACGACAATAAACAGGGTTTTTTCATGCAAAGGGACTACAAGATGTTTCCTCCTTCAGTTAACTGGAAAAATATTGACTGGTCCACTTGAAAGCCTCGAATGGATTTTCCAGTCCAGGTTTGTTCTCTGTATTTGACATTGGAAATTACATAGCGTTCACAAACGGAACCATTATGAGCATAATAGATGCACTGTGTTTGGAAATGAATTAGATTTGAGAAAGGATTTGAAATTGACAGATTACAAGTACTTGGGTATTTTAAATCCTTTGTTGAATAAAAAAAGATAGACTAACTCAAAATTGATAAAGCTTCCCCGTGCTCCTCTACCCATGGTAAGATTCGACTTAAAAACTTTAAATATGCACGTTAAGAGTCAAGGTTGAGGTGTGAGATTAGGGAGAATTTGAATTTATTATTTCAAATCCATTGAAAGGTTGCCTACAAGCCTTGGTAGATTTGAAATAATTAGTTCCTTGCTGAACTTTTGTAACATCCTTGACTACTTTGCAGAGTGCGATTTGTTCACTGGAGGATGATAATACAGTGCAGCACGGAAAGGTTTGTAACATATTTCAAACACGGTTTCCATTGGGCACAAATATAATGTATGATTGAAAATTTTCACTTTGATCACCCAATTGCCAGTTCCACAATATGATTTGCTTTGTCGACAATATGATACTCATCATTGTCTTCATCATCGTCATGATGCAGGTCAAAGTTCATGGATATGCAGTGTCTGGTGGTGGGCGCAGCATTGAAAGACTCGATGTATCATTCGATGGCGGCAAGGCATGGGTCGAAGCATCCAGACACCAAAAGAGTGGAATTCCATATAATGCTATTGCTGATGATGATATATACTGTGACAAATGGGCATGGGTGCTTTTTGAAGCTGAAGGTGATGTCCTCCACAATACAGAGATTGTTGCCAAAGCAGTATGTAATTGCTAGCTATACTTTTTTCACACAACCCACATATAAGGTATAGTATCCACCACAGATGTGTCAAAGCCAAACCTTGCAAATGCTAGAACCTTCTGACAGTTAATGCAATCGAACCTGATGGTCCTATGTGAAGTGATTTCTTGTTTGTGTTTACAATGTTTCGCAATAGTTCATTGATGCATGATTTATCTTTCCTTACAATGATGGGGCAGGTTGACACAGCCGCAAATGTCCAGCCTGAAAATGTGGCAGTCATATGGAACCTGAGAGGGATACTCAACACTTCATGGCATTGGATCCAAATTCATGTCAAAGACAAATAGATAATACAAAATCACTAGCAATTCTTCTACACTTCGAATTTTTTTAATCACTAGAGGCTTGTATTGTATTTTTTTATTTTCCATGTAATTCTTTTATAAATGAATGTGCCAATGTTTAATTGTCAATGGAATAATGTCTCTACATAAGACAGTGAAGTGAACTAAGATGTTGAACTAAATGGAAAAATTCACTCTTGTAGTTGTATCTCAAACCCTAGCTTCAAATGCTCTTCATTTACCTTTTTCCTGAAATTCTTGCAAGTGGAGGTTATTTCAAACACCACAACATGACTCTTTCAGTTTGTAGTTTGTGTAAAGTTTCTTGTTGTGTATGATACTAGCTTTCTTTTAATACAACTGCATTGTAACTTTTCTTGAAAAAAAAAAAACTCTTTCATAAAATGATAAAAAATTAAAACACACACACCTTTCCTTGAGAATGTTGGATTTTAATCCACAGGGGCACTATGGGAAGGGTGTCTCTCAATCCTTTAATGTACATCACTACTCAAATTGCTATGGTAAATAGAAACAAAGCATGCTTAAGTAGTTAAAGAGTTGAGGTGGCAACTTTGGGAACTTAAAAAGTTGCAAACTAAAGCCTATATGGTGAGATAAGAATATGGACACATTACACAATAACGAGAAAAATTTTGAAGACAAATTTGATTCAAAGATATAATAATGTATTGAAGTGCTCTATCATTTGCTATACATATTTTAACTCAAGCTCTGCATTTTATATGCATGAAGTATTGGTGCATGCATATTTGTAATTCAAAAAGCCTTGCCTACATTTATTTTTCTACCTATTTTTAAAAACATAAAAAAATCTTACAATACACGGTTCAGAAAAATGAAAAAACGATACACCTATGTCAGCAAAAGCTGCCTCCAAACTATCTCCTTTGGCGCCACCAGTCTGGCACTTTCAATCTCCGGCTTCTATGTACAGCAAGTTTGGCCGCGGGAACCTTGTGCTTTACCCGTCTCCATAGCATATTCACAGCATCTTCCTTCTTCGGGGCATACTGGAATTCAAAGTGATGGGAGACATTTTTGGGCCGCCTCCACATGTCGAGCCATCTCTCTTTAGGAAATTCCCGAAGCTTTGTAACCATGTAACCGGGAACCAACGCCTGCTTGACAGAGAAAAAAACAGAGAACTCTTGATGCCATTTTAGTTTATGATATCCTCTTTTTGTAATTTTGATTTTTAGCTTTGTAAAAAGGAGGCTTTGGTTCCCGGTTACATGGTTACAAAGCTTCGGGAATTTCCTAAAGAGAGATGGCTTGACATGTGGAGGCGGCTCAAAATTGTCTCCCATCACTTTGAATTCTAGTATCCCCGAAAAAGGAAGATGCAGTGAATATGCTATGGAGACAGGTAAAGCACAAGGTTCCCGAAATAGAGTTAGCAAAGAAGACAATACGTAAGGAAATTAATGATTGTGGGGAGAAAAGAAAGAATCTATGTACGAAAAATATTACTTTGCACATCTTTTGACATGAACAAACTGCATAAACAATAACTATTGGACTACTGGATTTGGATTATTTTTATTGGATTTTCTTATCTTGATAGAACTTTTATGCTGTGTTTGGATCATGAATATGAGTAGAAATTTGAAAAGGAAATGGAAAAATGTGGGTGAAATGTCAATGAACTATAATTACATTCAACACACCTTTTCCCTTTCCCTTTCCCTTTCCATTTCCAAATCCCTAGCTAAATCCATGATCCAAACATAACATTAAGGAAATATGATGGTTTCAACGTTATAGAAAGCAAAGCACATTCATATAATTTTCTTCTTCTTTTGTGCTAGTTTATTATTTTCCAAAAAAATTCAAAATATAATCAAAATGTGGGAGTGTATTTTCCAAATGATTTGAGCCAACATCAATCCATATGTTGTAGTTACATGACGTTATATATCATAAAATGAGTAATTATAAATGACAGCAACTATGGCTTTGGTTATAATTCTTGCTTAACATAAATTATTAATACGTAGAAAAGTTCCTAGAATTTGAATGTTTGGTGTAGATTTAACTTGATGTGATGTGGACCACACACTATATCAATGAAGATCATTGATGATGCTAATAATGAGAGCTATTAGGACATATTGGTAGTTTACCCTTTTATTTGTTGCTCGATTCAATGTGATGATAATGAAAGCATTTTATTTTTTTTTTACTTAAATTACTTCATTTTTGACACATGGTGGCATAGGCAGCATCAGAGCTAATTCGAAGTTCTACTGAGCCAATTCTCGAACAATATAGATTAGTTATCTTATCATCTCTCAAGTTTTCAAAGTTGACTCTTGGTGCTGTGGCTGCACAATTCACAGGTTTGTTTGATTTCTGTTTGATCTTTGATAAGGAAGTTTAACTGAAGTTTAACTAATTTTTACCCCAATGCTTTCATAGATTTTGGAAAGAATTGTACTTCTCAATTTACAATTACATTCTTTTGAGAAAATCAAATGAGAAAAGAATGGCCTATCAGATTGGATTGGTCTAAAGTTATTGCACATTAGCAAGTCATAATTCACTCCACAACTTCTGTTTCTTTAATCTTTAAAAATATATATATATTTTATTTTTCACTTTATAGAATTATTATGGCCAGAGGTAGAGCCAATCATCTTCAAGAATAGACACAAGAAGTTGATAAAAATCTGATGCCATTTGTGGAATACTTGATAGTTAGTTGCCTTAAAAATCTGATTTATGATGAATGTTTAAAATATTTATGGGATGAAAGTTTAAATATTTAAATTGATCTTTTCATTCTCAGAAAGCTTTAAAAAAAAAATTGAGCCCAAATTTCACTTTCTTTACTATTTCCCCCACTTTCTTACCAACCAAACAGGACAGAATTTTTTTGGGTACAAACTACTAATTCATGGGCTGATAAAAATATGATGAAACTACAGATTTATGGGCTGATTTATGGTGGAATACTTGACATATTTATGGGATGAAAGTTTAAAAATCTTATGAAAGTTGAAATATTTAAACTGATAAAAAAAAATCTAAAACTAACCCAACACATTGAAAAACAATGGAAAGTTTGAAAAATCTAAAATCTAAAATCTGATGGATGTTTAAAAATCTGATGGAAGTTTAAGTATTCATGGGATGAAAGTGTTCATGGCAGAAACTTTATCAGATAAAAGTTTCTGCACCAAGTGCAGCAAGGAAGTGCAACAAGGAAAAAACCCAAGTAAAACTATCAAGTATTCCACAAATGGCATAGAAAACCTAAATAAAACTAATACAACACATTGAAAATACAATGGAACACAGCCATCACGAAATGCACAACCAATTCCCCCCACTTTCTTTCCAACCAAGCAGGACAGAATTTTTTTGGTACAAACTATTGATTTATGAGCCGATTTATGGTGGAATTTCAACATATTTATGGGATGAAAGTTTAAAAATCTGATGAAATTTTAAATATTTGAACTGATAAAGAAACCTAAAACTAACCCAACACATTGAAAAAACAATGGAAAGTTTGAAAAATCTAAAATCTAAATCTAAAATCTGATGGAAGTTTAAGTATTCATGGGATGAAAGTATTCATGGCAGAAACTTTTATTCAATTTGGTCTGATTTTGATAAGAAAAATACAACAATAATTTCATGGCTTTTCATAGATATCCATAGAAAGAAAAATAAGAGAGAGACACAGAGAGAGCATACTATTTCTGCTCACAAATCATATGTTTATAGATTCATATATCTATAAACATTTCTAGGAGAGATACAGAGAGTAAACTCACGGGGATGTGCCGGAAAGCGCCGAAGCCAGAAAACTTGTTCTTGGGGATGATGTCTCAAGCGAAACGACTTCGAATTTCTGCAGATTTCTGCGAATAAAACCCATCAAATCCATTTCAAATTTTAGAAATCAAAACCCATCAAACTTTTTTGGTACAAACTATTGATTTATGGGTTGATAAAAATATGATCAAACTACTGATTTATGAGCCGATTTATGGTGGAATTTCAACATATTTATGGGATGAAAGTTTAAAAATCTGATGAAATTTTAAATATTTGAACTGATAAAGAAACCTAAAACTAACCCAACACATTGAAAAAACAATGGAAAGTTTGAAAAATCTAAAATCTAAATCTAAAATCTAAATCTGATGGAAGTTTAAGTATTCATGAGATGAAAGTATTCATGGCAAAAACTTTTATTCAATTTGGTCTGATTTTGATAAGAAAAATACAACAATAATTTCATGGCGTTTCATAGATATCCATAGAAAGCAAAATAAGAGAGAGACAGAGAGAGCATACCATTTTTGCTCACAAATTCACATGTTTATATATTCATATATCTATAAACATTTCTAGGAGAGATAGAGAGAGTAAACTCACGGGGATGTGCTGGAAAACTTGTTACTGGGGATGATGTTTCAAGCGAACGACTTCGAATTTCTGCAGACTTCTACAAATAAAACCCATCAAATTCATTTCAAATTTCAGAAATCAAAACCCATAAAACCCCAACAAATTAAAATAATTTACACCAAAATCATTAACTTTAAAGCAAAACTTGGACGATGAGACGATCGGTGGTTGATGGCAAGAGGAGAGCAGAATCAACCAACAATTTATCCAACAAAAATTAAAAATAAAAAACTTAAAGCATAATCAACCAACAATTTATCCAACAATTTAACAGAAGCAAGTATAATAAAGCTGGTAATCTATATAAAGTAGAAGCACCAGTTAATTTATAAAATAAATTAACATCAAAAACACTTCAATTGTACCCCAAATAACTGCAATAATTAGGCAATTGCTTTCAACAATGCCTTCAATCGAGAAGGAGGAAATAAACCAAGAATGGGGAAAAAAAGGGAAACAAACACATATTACTAAACCAAATCTTACAAACTTGTGTGTTTTAGGGCAATCGAAATACCTAAAAATAATAACCAGAAAATACCTAATTAACAAATGAATTTAAGGTTTGGAAAAATCAAAATCAAAATGAGTAAATGAGTACTCTGTTACTCTGTTCGATCATTGTGGTAGGTTTCTCATAGGCAAACTATCAAACATGTTATGGCCATGACAGTATAAGCCAACATATCAACACTTTTCTTCACCCCCATTGCCACTATGCTTCTCATTTCTAATGGAGAGCCTGTGTTAGGTAAAACAGATATGCATATGCAGAGCACTGCGAAAAGATAGTAATCGAGATAAAAAATAATGAAAACCGCGAATTATCAATAAACAGGAATTCAAACAATTAATAAATACAACTTTAATATACAATTGTGAAGTTAGATTTAACCTGTAAGTCTGTATTGGCCACCAAAAACAGGAAATCAAGCCCCAAATTACACAGATTGAAAGGTGGGGGGGTTGAGACGTGGAGGAGCATCGGGTGTGTTTTTGCTTCTGTTGAAGAAGAAGAATAGAGAAAGAGAGAAAGAGGGGGGAAGGTGAGAGGGGGATGGGGTCAGACGTGGGTAGGTGGGTACATTAGGCGGCAATCAACATTCATCTGAACCAATCTGAACCATTCATATATACTTAAAATTCATCTCAGCCGTTAATATTAAATGTATCTCTAATACATTTTATATATTTTCAAAAACAGTCCTATCTTGTCTCTAGTATATGCCCGTGCCTAAAGGCACGGTATAAATAATGTTACGATCAAAATATAATTGTAATTTATACGTATCATGTTGAAATTTGTGAAATTTGTGAAGTTTGTGTTATTTTTTGATAAAAATATTGAAAAAAAATATATTTAAATTTTTTTTCTTCTTAGAGAACTTGTTGGTTTTATGTTTTCATTTTCTATGATTTATGGTTTTGAAGTAAAAAACACTATTCTGGTCCCCTAAATTCAACAGCTACTCAACTTACTAAAATTGAGCATAGCATTATTGTCTTCGTGAATAAGTGCTACATCATTTCCACTTCCTTTTAACTACTTGTGTGACCAGTCTTATTTCTCAACTCTTAACGATAATGATTTCTCAACTCTTAACAATAATGACCACTATATGTAAGCCTTTTTTTTTGGGTGAATAACTATATTTAAGCTTTGAACGGGTTATATTTCTCTCATTCAGAAAGAGAATTGACTTGCGGAAATATTTAGAAGTTAAATCTTGTAAGCATCAATTTCGTTTTTTGCTCTCAACATCACCATACCAAAAGGTTAAGGAAGAAACTGCAATGCCTTTTGCTCATAGAGTTGGAGAGGATTCTAATGAGGACTGTGAGATAGATTCCAAGATTATGGATG